GCCTGACACCCCTCCCGGGGCCTGGAGCCCGCGGCTCCCGGCTCCCAGGAGAGACCTGACTCTGTGAGGGACGCTGGCCTGCTTGCTGTGTCACCTCCGTACCCAGGAGGAGGTGGTCACGCAGGCAAAGCCAGTCAGTTCTCCCCGTTGTTGTGTAGGTAGAGTTTAAGGCCTTGAGTTACTTGGTTGAGTGTTTGGCAGGTTAGTTAAAGTGGTAATTTAGTGTTACAAGTGCTAGCCTGGTGAATCATATGTGCTGGCTCATGTTCAACCCTTACAACGTGCTCTTTACAGAAATATGACACACGCCTATCCCCTTCAAGGGACAAGACTGTTATGTAAATTGCACTTATTCAGTGCCTGCTGGCTTTGTCCACTCCCAGGAATGCACGTGGAGATGCTTCTGCATGCAGCTTCACTGTCCCAAAGGGTAGTGTTAGAGAAAGTCTGTTCATCATAGAATCATAGGGGTTGGAAGGGACCTCTGGAGATCATCAAGTCCAATTCCCCTGCTGCAGCAGTAACACCTAGGGCAGATCACACAGGAGTGTGTCCACTCGAATCTTGAAAGTCTCCAGAGAAGGAGACTCCACAGTCTCTCTAGGCAGCCTGTTCCAGGGCTCTGTCACCCTCACAGTAAAGAAGTTTTTCCTCATGTTGAGGTGGAACTTCCTGTGTTGTAGCTTGGTGCTGTTTCCCCTCGTCCTGTCGTAGCCCGTTTTTGACATCTACCCTTCAGATATTTGTAGACATTAATAAGGTTTCCTGTTTGTCTTATTTTCTCAAGACTAAACAGCCCTAGGTCTCTCAGCCTTTCCTTCTATGACAGACATTCCAGTCCCTTAATCATCCTTGTAGCCCTCCATTAGACTCCAGTATATCCCTGTCCCTCTTGAACTGAGGAGCCCAGAACTAGACACAATACTCCAGATGTGGTCTTACAAGAACAGAGTAAAAGAGGAGAAGAATCTCTCTTGACCTGCTGGCCACACTGTTCTTAACACATCCTAGGATACTACTGTCTCTCTTGGCCACAAGGGCACATTGCTGTCCCATGCATAACTTGTCCACCAGGACCCCAAGGTCTTTCTCCATGGGGCTGCTTTCTAGCAGGTCAACCCCTAATCTATATTGGTGCGTGGTGTTTTTTCTCCCCAGATGCAGAACGCTACACTTACTCTTGTTGAACCTCATTTAGGTTACTCTTTGCCCAGCTCTTCAGTCAGTAAGGCTTTGCAAGAAAATAATTTCTGTGCGGGACTGTCACAGAGTAGTATTCTCCATCATTAGAGATCTTGACATGAAGCAAGTGTTCCCAGGCTGTCTGTTTTCATTCCACATCAGAATACGGGCTCTGCTTAAACACCATCCCAGAAGACAGATGAGGGCATAGAAGCTAATAAAGTGACTTTTTTTCACCAATACTGTTTCTGAGTAGGGGTGGTGTCCCAACATCAGAGGTAGAGTAACATTTAGAAGATGGTGGATAACATCTATGATTCATAGATTGTCATGCTCTTCATAATTTGCGAAACAGAGGAACTGAGAAGCTGGAGGTATGCATAAAATGTGTATCTTGAGAGGAGAGACCATGCTACCCAAAATTGTATAACGAAGCGGTATAGTTGTGTGGCCATGTTTCTCCCTCTTCTAACATTAGTGCTGTCTTTGAAATAGTGAATGCAAACAGTAAAATCTCCTTGGTTTATCCATTTTGAAACCAAGAATGGCAGAATTATCTTCCTTTGGATTGTAGGTGAGAAAGTGTTCAGAGTGGCAACTTTTCTTGTCGATTTTGCAAATCAGCTTGAGATGATAAATGTTACTTACAAATCTGGAGATTTGGGCAGGGAGAAACTTCATGAAATTCAACAAGGGCAAGTGTAGAGTCTTGCATCTGGGGAAGAACAACCCCACATACCAGTACAGGTTGGGGGCTGACCTGCTGGAGAGCAGTGTAGGTGAAAGGGACCCGGGGGTCCTGGTGGACAGGAGGATGACCATGAGCCAGCAATGTGCCCTTGTAGCCAAGAAGGCCAGTCGCATCCTAGGGTGCATTAGAAAGGATATGGTTAGTAGGTCAAGGCAGATTCTCCTCCCCTTCTATGCTGCCTTGGTGAGGCTTCATCTGGAATATTGTGTCCAGTTCTGGGCCCCTCAGTTCAAGAAGGACAGGGAACTGCTTGAAAGAGTCCAGGGCAGAGCCACAAAGATGATTAAGGGAGTGGAACATCTCCCTTATGAGGAAAGGCTGAGGGAGCTGGGTCTCTTTAGCTTGGAGAACAGGAAATTGAGGGGTGACCTCATCAATGTTTACAAATATGTTAAGGGTGAGTGTCAGGAGGACAGAGCAAGGCTTTTTACCGTGATGTCTAGTGATAGGAAAAGGGACAATGGGTGAAAACTGGAACATAGGAGGTTCCATGTAAACGTTAGAGAAAACTTCTTTACCGTGAGATTGACAAAGCACTGGAACAGGCTGCCCAGAGAGGTTGTGGAGTCTCCATCACTGGAGTCATTCAAAACCCACCTGGACAAGTTCCTGTGTGATGTACTCTGGGTGATCCTGCTCTGGCAGGGGGGTTGAACTTGCTGATCTTCAGAGGTCCCTTCCAACCCCTAAGATTCTGTGATCTTCCTTTAATACTACCTACAGATCCTTTTCAGGTAAATAAAAAAACTTTATTTCTTGTCCAGAACTAAGAGCATTTTATCAATGTTTACTCCTAGAATGTTTAAATGTTCACAAAAAACAGTAGGAGAAAAAATACTTGTTCAGTACCGCATTTGGTTTCTTTGGGGGGATTTGCTGATTAAACTATTTGGCTCTTGGTTTATAATAAAATTGCTTGGTTTTTTCTGCATTCTGTCTAGACTTCAGGAATGCAAAGGGGAGTCCAATTAATTGTAAGAGATTAATAATGGCAGGACTACTTGTCATGGTGGTTAATGCCATCTTGCTTTGCTTTTAATTGCTCTTGTCTCTCTTGAATCTTTCTAGAACCTATTGGCTTATTCTTAGATTGCAGTCTGTTTTGGGGCACAGGTTGCTTTTTTGGCATTTATTTTTAGAAAACATGTAACCAAGTGGTCTTCGTCCTTATCAAAAGTCTTTAGTTACAGATTGCAGAATTAATTTTAAGTCTTATTTGACTAGTACAAAATTATATATGCCATGTTTGGTTGGTGTTAAATCAATTGGTTGAGTTCAGTTTGTCTCATAGAAAATAATCCTTGTGGTTGAAGTATTTGGGTTTTTGTTGGTCATATAAGTAATGATGTCAGGCATCAGTTTGTACATTGGAAATGGGCACATTTGTAACACTTGACAGATTAACATAGGTCAGTAGAGCGCTTTGGTTGTTTATGCCATTCATTTTTAAAATACATTTTTAAAGTGTGATTTTTAGATTATTGAAGGTAAATCATAAAATGTGGTTGCTAGACCAGTACAGCACTAATGTATTTCTTTGCTAAAGATGTGCAATAATGTGGCAATTTTATGTAAACCAGACTTCTAGTACGTGATGTCTGTTTTTCTTCAGGTTGAATAGATTTTAGTTGTGACCATGGAGGGTCTGCAGATACTTACCATAAGCCTGAATAATTTGTAAAGTAAAAAAATAATAATAAATGTGCATGCTGATTATGTATTATTTTTTTTCTAAGATGCTTTATGCTCAAAATAAAGTAAAGTTCTTGGAATGTCAGGATGACATCACAGTTGAACCATGTTCTGAAGAAGTGAAATCTACAGAAGAAACTTATGAGAAGCTCCCTGATGATGATAACCAAGGTATTAAAGAGGAAATGGATGTTGAGAGAACATCAGATGATTTGATGCCAGTGGATGCCTTAGATAATGAAAGCCAACATGAAATGCAAAAACAAGACAAAATACCTACTGGTGCATTGAGAACAGTGAATGAAGTGCTCCCTGACTATAATCTAGTGATTAGTCTGCCGATTAATAGAGAAACTGTGCACAATGCAAATCCTCCAGTTGCATCAATAAATGACACTGAAGTTGAAGAAAATAAAGACCCTTTTATTACAGATAATGCTGGTAAAGATAATAATAGAAATAGCAATATATCATTCTCAATAAAGAGAAATGCATCAGATGAAGAGTTTTTTACAAGCAAAGAATTCATAGGACCAATTTACAAGCCTGCCAATAGCAACAAACAGGAAGAATCTGGGAGTTGCAATGAAGGTAGTAGCAGTGTTGGAGATCAGAACAAATTGCATGAAAAGAGAGCTAAAAGAAAGGAGGCAAAGAAGTTGCAGACTATTTCTTCTGCTGTACCAGAAATAGATGATGAACTGGACCAGTTCTATAAAGAAATTTACCAGTTGGAAAGCGAAAATTTAGAAACTGCTGTTGAGGAAAAAGAAATAGAAACTTCTCAGGAACAATATTCACCGTATAACTGTAGTCAAACCTCACAAGAGGATTATCAACATGAATTGTTGGGCAGCCCACAACTGTTTTACGAGACTGGACATTGTTTCTCTGGGGAGCAGAAAACTGAGAAAACAAATGAGCGGGAGTTTGTCCTGGAAACAAGTGGCTGGAAAACTGAAAATACCCTTGATGGACAAGCAGATTCTAGATATTGGAACTACTCCGTGCCTGAATTCAGACCTGCTTGGCAGTCAGCAGAGTCTTTCATAGTACCTCAGGGTCCTCTTGCTCCTAGATTCAACCATCCATCTCATTTTCAGATACTTAATTACCCACCAGAAAAAACAAATGCTTTCCCTTCTCAGAATGGTGAACTTTTAAATAAAAATTATTATGGTTACCATGGACATACTAACATCAACGATCATGGTCCATTGTTTGATCAAAGTACCAACTGTACTGATAGCCATACTACTCAGGTCTTCAGAAATGAAAATAATGAACAGAACAGACTCCAAAATAATGAGCAGAATCAACTCCAAAATAATGGTTTCTATGAAACCAGAGAAGAGTGTTGGAAGGATCCAAAAGCTGACAATACAGAAGGAATACACAGCTTTTCTTCCTTGAAGTTACGCGAAGAAAGATTTGGTTGTTCACAGAAATGGCTTCTAATCTTAAGAGGCCTACCTGGTTCAGGGAAATCAACACTTTCTCGGTAAGTAAAGACTTAAAACTTGAGAATCTTATTGAAATAAAAATTTTTAAGAATTAAAAATAAATAAATCCTACGTGCTTGGCAAACTTTGATATTTGTAAAATAGGCTGTTAACATGCAGTAATTCTTACTTAATGAGGATAAATGGCAATAAATATAATAAAAAATATTTGCTTGGGTTTGGGGTTTTTTTATGAACAGGAGCTGTTTTTTGTTAAATTTAAAATGTTCTGTATCTGTTACATTGCATATTCTTGTATTCTGAAATTTACAGATGTATTAGTATGTGATGGTCTACCTCTTTCTTTTTTTTTTTTATTCTTAAATGCCTTAATTTAAAAAAATCTTCCATCAAATCTAACAGCATTAATTTGACTGAACCAGAAGTACTTTTTTTTTTGTCTATGCAAAATCTTCAAAGGCCACTAGAAGAATTTTCTACCCTGAAAATATGTAATTTGTTTAGAGTGTGTTGATGAAACTGAGCATGTATTTTCCTCATAAGCAGACAAAGGTTCTTTTCCCTTATTTCCCCTTTCCAGCATGGGGGTTGAACTAGATGATCTTTCAAGGTCCCTTCCAACCCCTAAGATTCTGTGATTCTGTGGTATACTTCTTGAAATCTGACAGTATTAAAAGCAGGTACCAGCTCCAGCTTTGGTTTTGACTTTTTTTTTTTTTTTTTTTAGCCTAGTCTAAAAAGCATGTAAGTTGACATAGACCACAGATGCTATCTGTATTAAGTGAAAATATGTTTTATGTGAAAATAGGTTTCTCTTGTTATCAGTACTTACTGGTTGAGCTTCATCCAGAAACTGCACATCACTTCTGTCATTGTTTTCTGTTGTGTGCTAAGAATGTTAAACAGATCCAATGATCATGTACGTCAAGATGCAGTCTGTTGTCTTTCCAGGAACTGAGATTAGGTGAGGTTGCCTAGCCTTTAGTTCCTTGGGTTCTTGTCTCTACATGCCTTAAATATGAATTTAACAGTAGTGGTTTCCTGGTCGTTCGGGAGCTCCCCTCATCTTCCTTTACTTCCTGTGTTCACCTGACCTAGACAATCACAGCCTCCTGACTCATTTGAGTTCCTATTTCTTTATCCATCCATTTCCAGTTTTTTTTTTCTATTCTGGTCCAACCATGGCTTTTGGTCTCTTCTTACTAGCTCCCCATCTGCTCCTATATTCCAAGCTGATTTTTCAGGTGCTTCTTCTCCTCCACTGTTGTATGTGGTGTCATTTTATTTACTTAGGATAAAAATAGGCTTTGAACCTTTTTATGCTTTCCTAAACTAGTATAATACACATCCTATTAAAAGACATAGATTCTAACAGAAATAATTACTGAACAATGGCCAAAAAAAGTGGCTGTACTTTTGGTTTATTGTGCTCTGCTTTCTGAAATAGCATTGTTGTTTATCCTGAGATAACCTTAATACTCTGAAAAAGGGAGAAAGCAAGAAGGAAAAAACAGCTTGTATGCAGCTTTGCTCGTGTTATTTGAAAGTTATATCGTTAGTAGTTTCTCCTTGTCCTCTATAATCTGAACTTTGTTGTTACAGGTCCCTGTATTCTAAAAGCAAAATTAAGCAACAACATAATTGTAGGACTATGAATGTACAGGAGTTTAAGTTAATATGTAATGCAGTGTCCTGGTCTTTAAACTATGATCCATATCAAGTCTGTTGTTGGTGACAGGTGGCAAAACATAGCAATTAAATTTCCTTTTACTGTTCCTGTTCAGCCCACACTGTGTGCAGCAGCATGGGCAAAGGTCAGATGAGGGCACATTCAGAGTTTGAGATGCTGTAAAAGGATTTAAACATCCAGGTAATTTTTCAGCTGTATCCAGATTCTTTGTGATCAGATTGCTTTCTAGAGTTAGTTCCAAACAAGAATTTATATGGAAAATGTTAGTAAATACTTTAAATTATTTTGAGGTACTTAGAACTTTGTCCTGGTTTGAGCCAGGATGAAGCCAATTTTCCTTTTACTGATTTTAATGAAAATGTATAATCTGGGCTTAAAATCAAGCGCCACATTGGGCGCCAATAAAATGTTGAACCTGAGTCAAACGGTGACAAACTGAATGCGGTTTAACCATAAATTAGGTGGGTACAAACATCTCTTGCAGCTGGAGGGGAAGAAACAACAGATACAGCAACAGTAGAAAGGGGGAAAGTAAATTGCTTTAATGTAAATTAGAATGATTGGTAGTATGTATGCATGTACTTTTATAAAGCTGATTGAAATTGCAAAAAGTTCAGAAATAGGGCACAGGTAAATTTATTGTAGCTATATTTTTTCTGTGTCTATTTCTATCTGAAAAATAGAAGTTAAAATATTTTTGCCTTTTCCTTTGTTTAACAGTATTCTGCTTGGTCAAAGCCATGATGGCATTATATTCAGCACTGATGATTATTTTCGTCAGCAAGATGGATATACATACAATGCTGCTCAGCTTGGTGATGCCCATGACTGGAACCAGAAGAGAGGTTTGAATACATAAGAGGAATCCTATTAAGTTACACTTATATTTAGAGAAGTATAGCATTATGTGCATGTGTGTTAATAGTCTATATGAGAAGGAGTATAAGGTACCTAGAAGTAGATAATTAACATATTCTTTATATTTTAGTTAACATTTATGTATACATTAAATTTTGAACTTACAAAAGGTTCAGAGTTAAAAACAGAAAATCTCTCCTCTATAACCCACTTACTTGTTACATTTCTAACTAGTATCTTGAAGGCAGAATTGAACCTTTTTAATGCTGGTAACAGCACAGTATCCTTTTTTTCCCCCAGTGTCTTTTGTGATCTGAAGTTCATCCAAAATTGATGGAAGAGTTTTTCTGAGGAAGATCTCATTTCACTGACATAGATTAATAGCTTTAATAAGTCATCTTTCTTAATATCTACTAGTGTCCAAAGGTTGGGTCCCTGGGGTAAGAAGTGTAGCAAACAAATTCTTGCTCTTTCTGTAGCAGTTTGGTAAGAATCTTACTATTTATTTGGTCTGGTCCAAGGAGTGGACAAGCTGAGCGACTCCACTGGCTGTGCATGCAGGTTATTCTCTGTGCTGCAGTGTCTCAAACAGAAGCTTCCGTCCTGTCTGCAGGACTGCTAATTTGCATCAAAAGATATGGAGAGCCAAGGAAAAAAAAAAATTTTTCTTTCCCTTTTCTCACCTTAATGCAAAATTTATTATACATCTGGGAACATTTCTGTCTGAATGGTGAAGAAATTTCTTAGAGGAATCACTAGAATATAGATTATAAAGAGCACTTTTGATGTTGGAGTGCAGCAATAATAAATACTTTGAATAAATTTCCCAGTAGGAGCTAAGGAGCAGAAGAGTTGATAAGGTAGTAGTTTATGGATGAGCGGGCTCAACACTTCACAGTTATAAGACACCAAACATTTGTCACTTGATAAAGATTTCTACCTGTTTCTGACCAGACATTAGCATCTCTCTAGTTATGTACACAGTGTTGTAATAACCAGAAGAGTATATAGTTTAGTTATTCAGTGATATTGATAGTAAGAACAAGAACAGCTGTGCTGTGTTGTAATAGAACAGCCCCACTGCAAAACATTTCCCAGAATAGCTTTGGGTTGAAGTTATACTGAATTCTTACTTTCTGCTTTGAATAGATAGAACTTTCAGACTTGAAGTAATTCAGAAGCTCTTGGTTTTATTTGTGTGTGAATCCTTGAAATACATGGAATGAGAACTTAAGGGGAATGGTAATCTTGATAGTGGTTACTCTTGCCTAATGACTAGGTCTAGGTCAAAGGTTTTTTTAGATGATATCTACTGCATTTGTTATTTATGTATTTGCTAATATTCATATGACAACATGTTTAGCTAGAGCTTTGTAATCCTCATGTCAGAATTATCGAGAAGGCAAAAATTTAGTTTCTTCACAAATAAGAAAATTATTCTGTTAAAATTACACTCCCTCATTTTGGGGGAGGGAGTGAATCTATAGTATAGTAATTATAAGAGAAAATGGTAACGTGAGACCCATTAGAGATAAAAAATTGTTTTAGATGAACAGAATTTCAAATTCTGACATGTTTATAAGACAATGAATTTCATATAGTTGATGCTAAAGACCATCCCTATATAATGCAAAGGTTGTATGGTCAAGTGCACAACTATTAGGAAATACTAGAATTAATTTGCCAATGTGACTTTAGTTGTGGAGTGTCAGTCTTACAGGGTTTTAGGCCCTTTAATTTCACTTTTGTGTCTTTGAGAATAGTCTCTTGCCATCCCTTATTGAAACTTTTTTCTGCCTTTTATGTGTTTTTAACATTGTTGACCTGGCAGGATGAGTTTGGTTTATTTGCTTTTTAAACTACTTTTTATTGGTTTGGTTTTGACAGTAACTAACAAAATTAATTGGAAACTTTCTTACTTTTAAACAAAAAAAATTATCTATTGTATTACATCAGTATGTTTAGCACTTAGATTCGTAGTTAAAACAAAAAGGTAAAATATGTAGGTGGGTTGTAGCTGTAATATAAACTTTCTTCATTCCCTTCTAACTCTTGTAAATTAATGATGATCCCATTATCTTCATTACTAAAATGGCTATTCTCTTGCTACCTTTATGAATCTTTTCTGAAATGCATGTTTCCAGACTTTTCCCTGTTTCTGTCAGCCTACCAGTCATGATTTTTGATTTGGGTTTCAGAAAGATCATTTGTGGCAGGTTAATGAAGCCAGTGAATGTATTTTTTGTTTGTTTTAACAGCTTTTTCCATCTGTTCTTAGTGCTCTGTTGGAACATGTTTTATCTGCGTTTTTTTCCTCCCTTTCATCTACAAAGTTAGTTCCCAGCCTGTTAATTTAATTTCATCCTACTGAGTGGATTGATCCATCAAGATGAATGCCTAGTTCTCTTCAATAACTTAGGGGTCTTCATTCCTTCAGATCCCTGTTTCCATTCAGCATACTGTTTGAGCAGTGTTCACTCAATGGGCAAGTGTTCAACAGATCTATTTTTTTTTTAATCCTTGCACTCATAATGGATCTAGCTTTTCATTTAGCTTTGTTTAATAGAACATTATTTATTCAACTTTTTTTGTATGAGAGTGATCTCTGTATTTTGGGCTTCAGATATTTAGTTCTTTCACCTAGTTAATCCTCTTAACTTCCCTGTGAGCACAAGGGAAGCCATCCAGAGGGACCTTCACAGACTTGAGAGATGAGCCTGTGCAAACTGCCTGAAGTTCAAGGCCAAGTACAGGGTCCTGCACACAGGGCAGGACAATCCAAAACACAAATGAGCTTGGGCAGAAAATGAATTGGTAGCTCCCCTAAGGAGAAGGACTTGGGAGTGATGATGGACGAGAAGCTCAACATGAGCCAGCAATGTGCACTTGCAGTTCAGAAAGCCAGTGGTGTCCTGGGCTGCGTAAAAAGAAGCCTGGCCAGCAGGGCCAGGGAAGTGATTCTTGCCCTTGGCCCTTGTGAGACCCCACATGGAGTACTGTGTCCAGATCTGTAGCCCCCAGCATAAGAAGGACATAGAGCTATTGGAGTGAGTCCCCTTCTGCGTTGAATGGCAGAGGTCTTACTTTCAAAATAAAAAGGTGAAGGATGTTAAAACAATGAAAATGAATGTAGCCTATTTGTCCCCAAAGTGGGATACTCAAGTACTCTCTCTAGGTACTCACCTCTGCAGGAGTTCCTTCTGAGCATCTTGTAATAAAATGGAAGTTCTGGTAATAATAGCTTAACTGCTGTCCCTGTTTGTATAAAATGGAGGTAGATACCACGTTGATAAGGCTATAGAATTTGAGTTTTTTGCTTCCTTAGGTAAGTCTCCTGTGTAGCATTATGTAGAGGCTCAATGTCAAAATCATACTCTGGATGTGCTCAAAAAAAGTGGTGCAACATTTCAGAGACAGATCTTAGCAATGTGAGTTAGGTGTCTCTGAGAATGTTTTCTGGACTATGTAATGAATTTGGAAGAATGCCTCAAGATAAAATTTAGGTTTAGGCATAAGATAGGTGCTTAATTGCTTTATCAAAACTAAAGGAGTCTGGGGCTTATGAAGAGGTGCCATTTTAGGCATCAGCCTAGAGCTAAAATGTTTTCTGTGCTGTGGAGCTGATGTGATAGCAAACAGATTTGCATGTTTTGTCCCCTAAACTACTCCAACCAATCTCAGTTCGGCACTGTAATCTCTAGGATGCTTCTGCTGGATAAGAAGCAGGTCCAAAGTTAAAAGAATGCTACTGCATAAGTGTCCTGCCAAAGAAATTGCATCATGGCTGTGGTCTGTCTTTCCATCAGTGGAGATGCTAATTTGGGTGTGCCTTCTTGCCAGTTGCTGTTTTGTAGAACTCAGAAGCAACTTCTTATTACTTAAGCTTCTGCCCTCTTTTGCATTTGGTAGAAATTGGCCGGTGAGTTCAAACATCACACAAGTGGAGACAGCATGGTTGTAATTTTGTGTTAACAGATCTCAGAAATATTTCAGATGTGTGATGCTTTCCTGTGAAGTTCACCTATTTCTCAGCATTTTGTTGGGTAAGAGCTGCAGTACCCAACCACAGGTCTCAGTTATGAATGCAGCATGTGGCAGGTCTAGTGAAGCTGGAACCAGGATATAGTTTCATGATGGTGTCTCTGGCAGGCCACAGACTTTCCATTCCTGTCACTATCTGTCAATGTTTTTATTCCTTTTCTTAGAACAGTGTGTGTCAGTCCAACTAGATTTTTGCAAAAAATATCTTGAGCAGTGTGTTTACATTTACCACTTTATTTGAGTTACATAGTTGTTTATTAACTTGCACTGGTTTTCCTTGCAGCAAAACAAGCAATGGAGCAGGGAAAATCTCCAGTTATAATAGACAACACTAATACTCAAGCCTGGGAAATGAAGCCATATGTGGAAGTGGTAGGTTTTTGTGTGTGATTGTATCATCTGTCACAACTTTGCAAACTTACCTTCACATGTGATAAGTTGGTCAGTTTTGTCCAGAAGCATTTTCCTTACTCAAGTTTCTAAAGAGAGCTGATTAATACAATCAGTAATTAATATGGCAAAAGTCCAAACCAATTTAAGGATTAATTTGATCTAATCTCCTTAGCCTGGAGGGAAAGCTAAGATGAGTTGGTGCTAAGTGAAATTCAGCATGCTACTGCTGCAGAGTTATCAACATTTGTTTATTATACTGGTCTATAAACTTTGTGACATTTTATGTAACAATGATATACATATTACACATTTTTCTTTGCTTGCTGCAGGCTCTGGAAAAGGGGTACAGAGTGGAGTTCCATGAGCCAGATACTTGGTGGAAGTTTGATCCTGAAGAATTGGAAAAGTAAGGTTTATATTACAGAAATCATTGTGTTTCTATGAGGAAATAGATAAATACGCACATATAAATATGTATGTAGCATATTTTATTTAAATAGACGTTTTGAGATATATCTTTCAATAGAAATGTTATGGATAAACAAACAAAAAAATTAATAAAGATCCTGTCTTGTTGGCCCAAAAAGTCAGTCTTAAAATTCTGTTGGACGTGAGTAGGAAAATGATTGACCCATGTAAGAATACTGTAGTAACTAGTTATTCTGAGAAATTTGTTGCTACAAAATGATGACAAGAAATTAGCAAAAGACAAAAAGAAACTGCATTTTGCAAGGAGTGCATCAATAAGGTTAAAAAGAAAGCTCATATTTTAGATCATTCCGTTGCAGTATTTTGTGAAATTGTCCCCAGTCTTCAGAGGATCTGACTTAGAGTGCTGTTGGATGTGGGTTATTGGACTTCTGGATTGTGACAGTGGTCACTGGTCGTCATCAAGCTGCTTATTATTCCTGGTTAATGTCTCTTTTGTCTCAGATGTATCTGATTCAGGAATCTATGAGGCATCAAACCAACTCAGGGATATTTCATTGTTTCAAGTGTAGCATTTTCATTGTTGATCACAAAGAGTTCTCTCACTTACTTTAATTTTGCATGCTTCCAAAGTAGCCCCTGCAATGCACAAAGTATGTGTGTATAATACTTTACTGACTTGGACTTCATTATGTTTATAAATCTTCTAAAGTTGTCACCTTTTGCTCCGAAGCTACCACTAACATTCTTAAGAGATGGAGTCCGCTCTCTGTAGAATGAATTCTAATAAGTTTTCCTAGCTTGGGGTGCATCAACAGCCAAGTTAGGAAGCTGTGTTGGTAAACAGACATTTCAAAGATACTCGCTGTGAGGTTTCCATCACATGAGACAGGAAGACTCATATTCTCACAGGGTCTTAACAGGCAACAGCATAAACAAACATGGAGTGTTGCTAATGTTTAGTTTTATTATTCAGTCGTTAATTGTAGGATTAAACTCTGTCTTTCCCAAAACCAAAGGAGAACCCTTGAACTGTGAAGGGCCGCTACCAGTTCCTAGGAGCTTTCTAGAAGTGTTTTATCAGCTCCAGTTGCTTTAAATACTTGAATAGAGGCACATTGTTTAGGAAAGGTGGTGATGTGAGGTTTAATTTTGTTTTTCAGTTGTCTGGGCAGAGGGCTCAGTTTTGAATGGCTGGGTTTTTTTCCTTATTTGAGGCTTTGGGAAATACATAATGATAGACATGTTATTGTAGTTTTGGGATTCCCCTTACAAGCTCAACATTTTTGTGAAGTACCTGGGCAAATACTGTGTTAATTATAAATTTGTATAATTTTATTAGTTGTTTGGAGTCATACATTCTAATTCCCTCTTAAACAAGATCACTTAAGACTCGTTGTTTCTGGTAGTTTGAATAAAAAATAAACAAGCTGCTACTTTAATTAGCAAAAGACTTGTTTATATTTTGGGTGCATGCTCCTTTTTTTTAATTGAGGGATGCTGTCTAGATTGTTAGTAACTTTTATCGATTTATATAATATGCTGATATTCTAGAAGTCAGTTGCATTTCTATATACTATTTTTACAGGGTTGTTTCTGCTAGTGTATAGTGTGCTTGAAAAATCTATGAAAAATTTCTCTTCGTCAACACTGGATGAATTCCAGATGAATTGATGTAAAGAATGTGACAGATCTTTTAATGTGGAATAGGTGGCAATCTCTTTCTTTCAGTGTGCCTGATCTTTAGAGTCACTTATGAGTGTTTTGGCTTTTATTCTGCACGTCATTTTTGCGAAAACTGACTTCACAGGCACGTGCCTTCAGGTAGTGCTCAAGACTTCTTGCATAGCATTAGACCTTTATATACAGGATTTTGTACTTTGATACTATTTTTAGAAAGTCTTGAAAGCTGCAGGTGAGAGAACGTGAGTGGCAAAATCACTGGTAGAAGATAATTTTTTATTGTTTTCTTTTTTAAGTTTTTAATCAGTGTTGGATTAAAAAATTACCTGTCATGTTTATATGATTTTTTAGTAGCTAGTCAGTTGGGAACTAGAGCTTTTTAAAAAGTATACATGTTATTCAACCTTTTAGGAACAACAGGTATCCTGTATATAATCTGTGTTTGGGGATGTATGTAGTTTTAGTATTTTAAGTTACCTTCTGTGTAACTTCATACAGAAATGAAATGCAAATATGTTTAATATAATCCTTCATCCTCAGTATGATCATAAAACTGAAATTTGGTATTGACTTAATTAAACTTGTGCTGACTCTTCTAAATGTAGTAATGTCTGTGTATGATTACTTTGCCAGTATATTGGTATGCAAGGTTCTTCTAGTGTAGAAGCATTTGATAGTGATGGAATTTTGCATTTATCAGTAGATTCTGTGTTTGTCCAATCAAAACCAGGTCCAAAGCATAGCTGTTAGGAGCTTTTGCTGGTACATCAGTATTGGTTAAGGATAGATGCCTTTATACTCTTTCAGTATAGCCAGGCCAACAAAGGATGAGTATTAAATGACACTATACAGCAGATTTGTTTCCTTTTTTTAATTAATTGCTATGCTTGATGCAATTTTGCTGTTAGTGATATTATTTCACTGCCTTGTTCTCTAAGGAAAAGTACTTGCTCATTTATGAAGTTATTATAGACAAGTCCATTCCGTGGTGGATGAATGCACACTTTATGCCTAGAGCACTTGAGCTGTAATAGTTTTCTAGGAATACTAAGATATGGAAAATATTAAGTAACATAGTGCTTCCACCATTTAACATGAAAGGACTTAGACTTTTTGGGTCTTTTTGTCATGATTGTCAAAAGCTTGATAGAATCTCCATATTTTTATGGGATTGGCTTTTTTCTTTAATGTTAACCTTGTTTATATTAGTGAGTGAAATCAAAACTGTTAAGACATGTTAACTGATACATTCACCATGCGGCTGCTCATGGACTTCTTTACAGAATGTAGAAATTAGTAGCATTTAAACAATGAGCTGCTTGTGATTATAGTTCTAGCTTCTGGTATTATCTCAGGGAAGAGTGTCTATGAGAGAAATACTCAACTTGAGCCTTTTCTTCCCAGAAACAAAGCTGATAAAATACACCTTGAGGAGCCAGCGTAATTCTCAGTAATTGTGAGATTACCAGTTCTTCCATTCTGAATGTGAAACTAGTGTGCTACCTGCAAAATTCATTGATACATCTTCTTTGTAATATGCACAAACTCCTGGGGGAGAGGAAAAGAGTCTTTTAAAATACTTCCATGTAGTATCCTCTTTCTGATTTCTCCTCTATAGAACTGAGCAAATTGGTAAGGAGGCCCATGGATCTGCTGCAGAAAGTACAAAGATCATAGAATTGTGTTGGTTGGAAAAGACTTCTAAGATCATAAAATCCGACTGTTAAGCTAGCACAGTGCTAAGTCCACCACTAAACCATGTCCCTAAGCACTATGTCCACATGTCTTTTAAATACCTCCAGGCATATATTTTCTATAGGCATGTCTTGGAAAGAAATCAGCTTGGACAACATTTACTGGGGATAAGAAATGTATTAGGTTGTGATAAGTGTGTGTCCATAGTATTGAAACATTTTGTTTGTTTTATATCTATTTTTTTCAGTTCTGCTGTTATTGCTGGCAATTCTCTGACATTCTGTTTGTGTGTGAGCCTCATGCTTTTCTTTTTGGCAGAGAGCAAAATTTTCTGTTAACATGGATTTAAGATATAGTCAATAGATAATAAGGAGATAAATGCATTCAGTTCTCACTGGAAGTAGCTGCTCACTAAACATGGCAAAATAGGACAACACTTCTGGTCTTTCTTCCCTTAAATGTGTTTTGGTTCATTTCTGAATGTACACAAGTATCAGCAAGAGCTAGTACATACATAAGCATGATGTTTTGGTTAAAAATAAAATTGTTCCTTATTTTATATAGAGTTTTATTAATGAGAAAATATTCTGTCATTAAGTCTTGAAACCATGTAGTTAGATTATTTTTTAATGCTAGTATAAGCATTACTTTCATAATTAGGAGTCTTAATATTATTCATCCTTCTATTCATGAGCTAGTATACCATGTAAAATCTGTGAATAAATAGAAAGCAAACTCCTTCTAAGGTTATGTAGGTACATAGTACTGGTGTATAGCATGTTTCTATAAAAAGAGGAATTACTGTATTGGTTTATGTTATTTAATATATGCAGTGGTTAAAAGTTAAAATAAACCTTAACACAAGTTGAGTAGTGAGAGAATGAGGATACAGTGTAATAAAAGTGAAATTTCAAATATGAAAAGCAAGAAGAAGAATTGTTAAATTAGAGCTTTTAAAATTTTTTCTTAAAGACTGAACATATAAACATACCAGAACACTTACTTAAGTTTTTATTTTTGTAGGAGGAATAAACATGGGGTCACTCGTGAGAAGATTGCTCAGATGTTGGAACGATACGAATATCAAATATCCATACCTATTGTCATGAATTCAGTGGTACCTCCCCACAAAAACACTCAAAGGCCACCTCTGCAGCGAAGACATAGGTGGGGAGGCAATACAGACTCTTGGGATTCTTTCAGTATTTCCAGTAGCCGATAACACAGTTGCAGTCACTTAATATAAATGTTACTTGCTCTTCTAAAATGCATCATCACCTCCAATAAAGCAGTAGATCTTCTTTTTTTCATATAGGCCTATTTCAAGGCCATTTTCTTCTGGAGGTTGTTCCTTTAATCAACTTGCGTGTAAATAAAATTGTACATTAAATGTTTTTTTAAAACTATATTTGTTACAATTATAATGACTTTGACTTTAGTAAAATATTTCATATAGTATGACATATAGCAGAGTCTTCGTAACCTAAGACGATGATGTTGTCATATATCAAGTAACTGTTGAGCAGTGTTTTTTGATAAAGAAGTTATATGTCTTTTAAAAAGAGAACTTAAGCCCCAGAAGCAAAAGTTATTTATATAATAACCAGTTTTAATGATTGTTATTTAGTCTGCTTATCTTTTAGGAGTTGTTTTTTTTAAAACAATTATGTCCTGGGTTGTCCTTTTGTTCTATTTGGCATGTATTGCGAGTTGGCAAATTTCTGGAATGTGTTTTCTGGTTTCAGTTATAGTGTTTGTTTTGTTGGGGTTTTTTTTGTCTCAAGCTTATCTGGCAACTGAAGCAACATTCTGCCAATACAGTATTCACCAAGGTTAAACTGTGTAATCTGAATTATTTTTCTTATGTATTTGATCTCTGTGGTAGCATATAAACTAAGATGGTGGGTGCACACCACCATCTTTTTTGTGCTAACTAAAAAAAACTAAGCTTTGTCACTAAAACCCAAAACTTTCACAGCTAGGTCTTTCTAAGTCAATTTCTTTAATTTACAAGTGAAGTATTAAAACATTAGCTGTTAAGTCCCAGTGCAAAGTTCAGATGTATCAGTAAATAAATAGTGGATATGATTCTTGAAAATCACATTGCATTCCTAATTTTGGCACAGCCAATGTCATCTGTTTAGCACATAACAAAAGAATGAACCAGCATGGAGACTGACTAATTTACTGCCCTTTTTCTCTTAAAAAATAAGTTTGTAAGTTTTCACTTTGCTTGCCTTCTAACAGCTTGTGGTATTAATAAAATACACTTGTATTCAGAGTTGTTTTAGTAGTTCAGTGCAGCAGTTTTTATTCTTTTCAAGCTGGTAGGATTTTATACAGATGAGCATTGTTAACCTGCTAGCTGAAATAACCTGTTTTCAGGTCTAACTGCATTTGGTTTCTGTACAGATTGAATGAGTAGATATTTGATAGGAAATTTTGTCAAGCACATGGCTAAAAGAATTTTCATGGTTTTCTATTACTAATTTGGAGTAATAGCCATCAGAATTTTGAAAATACTCAAGCCAGCATAATTTTTAATAGACATTTTTTTAATAGGCTCTAAAAATTAATTAAACTTTAAAATCTGAATACCATGAAAGTTGGAAATCCAGGTGTACAACCAAGTATCTTTCTGAGTTTTTCTACACCTATTGTACAAATCTAAGTTTGTACAATTTAATTTATATCTTCAGTAACATTTTCGTAAGAGATTCTATAAATTATGAAAGTTGAAGTGTTCCTTGTTGCACTTTGGTGATTGTTTTAATTATTTGAAAAACAATATACAATGTTTCAGTAGTGCATGAATTGTTAATATATTGAATTATGTGTATATATAAAAAAAGCTCTGCAACTATATTAATTGTCTTTCCTCATTGTCTTGTTACTCATACCAATTATACTACTGTATTTTAGTTTTCCTGGTTACCTTTTTCCATGTCTCAAAAGAATAATGGAAATTGTTGTAAAGGGTCAGTAAGACTTTATCCCACAGTTTTCATATTTGAACATGAAAGCATAGTTCAAGTCAGAGTAGGATTGAAAGGATTTAGAAAGACTACTGTTATTTACTCTATATTACTTTAAGCCATAATAAAGTGATAGAATTTGAGAATGTGTAATATCAGCACAGTATGCTAAGATATGACAAAAAAGAGCTAATTATTGAAAACTGATGTTACATCTTCTGGTACCTTCTGTCTTCAATTTTTAAAGGAAATGGATATTTTTTTTTCAATATTTAATTGGCATTTAAGTTCTCTATAACTGAAATCTGCATTTAAATAGATGTGAATTCATATTGTCTTGAAATAACACACTAATGTGTGTGTGTGTTATCTTTTTAATAAATTGTTGGTGGATGGTGGTTTTGATATGCAAAGCATGTTGATTTATAGTAGGCTTGCAGTTGGCAAAGGACAGTTAACATGAAAGGAATGATTAGCAATTTGGCACTGTATCAAACATTTCCTGTAAAGTGCTTAATCTATAAACCTGAATTCCAAGGTAAGTACAATGACACTGTAGGTGAAAACACAATGGAATTACTGACTGTGTAGGACCTCTTTGTTTCATGGTATATTTAGATTTTGTGAGGATATGACAGCCATGGTTATGTGTATATCTCAGACAGCAGTTACTTTTACACTACAATAGTTATATGTAAAAATAATAAAAATATTATAGTAATACACATGGCAGGTATTGAATTTCTCCTGCTCCTTCACAAACAAGGAAAATTACTTATTTTGTCAAAAAATATGGACAAGAAATGTAAGAACTCACTGTTCGCTTAGACTAGGGTTCTAAAAAAATTTAATATCTGGCATATTTTTAATGCAATACACCTGTTTGAAATAATAATGTGCCTAGAGTGAAGGTTTCCTACTGGTTTAGATTTTTAGTAAATTACTAGTTCATCACATTTTATGAAATAATAGTGTCAGATATTTTTTTTACTGTAACTAATGCATAGAACTTCAATGTCATGGATGCAAATTCTAAGTATCTGCTACTAGTGAGATGTTTGGTAAGTACGTTTAAATTTACAATGCTCGGCTGTAGTTTTAACATCCTACTCTTTTAGGCATGAAATTTATATGAGAATTATTGCAGAACATACATAATTTGGTTTTTAAGATGACCAGTTAGCATCATCTATATGGGATTATGTGTTGCTGTAGAAGAAATACCTCTAATTTTAGTGTTTTAGCTAAGTTGCTGTTTCTTGTTTTGTTAGTTTACTTACTTTATCAAAAGTTTTCATCAGCCTTGTCTTTGACAGATGATTTAATATTCCTATTTTTCTTTTTTTGGAGAAGAAAAAGCAAAACAATAAAAACCCCCAAACAACCCACCCACAAACCAAAAATAAACCACCCCAAAACCCACAAAATTAAACCCCGTGTGCTGGTTTTGACTGGGATAGAGCAAATCATCTTTACAGTAGCTAGTTTATGACTGTGTTTTGGATTTGTGCTGGAAACAGTGTTACCAACACAGGGGTGTTTTTGTTACTGCTGAGCAATAGCAGCTTGTCAGGGCCTTTTCTGTTTCTCACCCCACCCCACCAGCGGGTGGTACAAGAAGCTGGCAGGGGACATAGCTGGGACAGCTGATCCCAACTGACCAAAGATATTCCATACCATATGATGTCATGCTTAGCATATAAAGCTGGGGGAAGAAGGAAGAAAGGGTAGGTGTTTGGAGTGATGGCTTTTGTCTTCCCAAGATATTGGTATGCATGAGGTAGCCCTGCTTTCCTGGAGATGGCTGAACACCTGACTGCTGATGGGAAGTAATGGATTAATCCTTTGTTTTGCTTTGCTTGTGTGCACAGCTTTTGTTTTACCTATTAAACTGTCTTTATCTCGTGAGTTTTCTCACTTTCATCCTTTTGATGCTGTCCCATCCCAGCAGGGGGGAGTAAGCAGCGGCTCAATGGGGCTGAACTCCCTACTGGGGTTAAATCATGACAACCAAATGTAACACTTTTTCTGTTTTTCCTATTACTTGTTAACATATGATGTTAAATGATCCCCTATGATGGATTCTGTCTTCTGTTCTTGTAGTCATGTCCTCTTTAGGTTCATTTTAAGCTAGTTTGCCATGTTGCGCTTATTTTAAGCCTTTTTGTTTTTAAGAAGAAAGCCAAGATTTGTGTCTCTTGTCATCTGTCTCTTGAAACCTTCTGCAGAGATGGTCGTTTTTCTTTGTTTCACCGCTAATAGATAACTGAAAAACAGGCTTTGTGTACCTCAGATGGGACCCATAAAATTTACATTTGTTTTACAGCTGTCTTTTTTGATGTAATTTAATGTTTTCTTCTTTGAGCTGACCAGTAAGATTCATTTTCAGTGAATTAGAAAAAACCCAAAAAGTTACTTTTGTATTTTCGCTTTCACATCTGATACCTGCAGTTTGAACTGCTGTTTCTTCCTAACAATCTAATTTTATGGAGTAAATGTTTTCCCTCTGTGCTGTTACATTATAGAGATGAGGTGACTAAGTATACGTTGAGAATTGAGGGTTTTCCATACAAAGAACAAACATTACAGTTCCCAATATAGAGTGGTAAGAAGACATAGTGTTGAAATGCAGTTCACAAAATTGAAATTAAGTATGCAATTTGAAAGAGTGATCAGGTGTTTCATGTAGGTCAAACGCGGAAATATTTCACTTGAGTTTTTATAATGGCGCTTTCTCATTTCAATGTTTTGTGTTCTCATCCTTCTGAAATGAATCAAGAGCAGAGATTAAAGCTCTTTAGTAAGAATTTCCTAGGTGAGAATCTACTTGTATATCAATTAATTTTTTTTCTTTTTATAGGCTAATTGGTTGAAATCGGCTGTAAATCTTATTTTGAGTTCAAAGAAAAAGATATGAAAACATAGCTGGTCTTTTAAGGATTTAGAAATAAAGTAGTAAGTAACAGGATTTGTCAAGGTCAGATCATCTCAAATTTGTCTAATTTATTTCTGTAGCAACAGAGAAGCAGCAAGTGGTGTTTATAGCCTGAGATAAACTGTCAGTGTCATTCTAGATCAAGAATAATAAAAGCTTTGAAGTATTGCATCTGGAATGGGTCTTTGCAGCTTCCTTTTAGCTGGTAATGCTGCTACTTCATTTTCAAGTAGGCCTGCAGTCTGTGACCATTTAATGTGTACCATACTGATACATGATGCTGTTGTGACAATACCATGTTGTGCCAAGCCAAGCAGACTGTATCCATTAAGTCATTTTTTTCAGTTGTGCTTGAAGTCTTATTAGTAATGTTAAGTATTCTTTCTTTTTTTGAGTTGTTACTCAAATTAAACTTTTGTGGTCTATCAAGCTGATATCAAATTAACTTATATAATCATGCTTATCCCTTTTAAATATTTCCCTGATACTACCTCTAAGTATTCTAAAGTCCATAGAACTTTATGGAAGCATACTAGAAAAATAC